GGGGGGGGGGGGGGGGGGGGGGTGTACTCATAGTCGTGCATGCCGCACAGTCGTTGGACCATTGACCTCGCATCCCTGCAAAACCGGGGAGGAGCACGCGGAGTTCTCACCGGACCAGGCTCCCACATAACCAAGCGCGAAGCACCGTGAGGTATTCGGCGAGTCGCATGAAGGGTGCTCTGCTTCCTGCTAAGTAAGGTGCTCGGCATCTTGTGCTTACTTCCTTGCGTACGGGTGACAGCTTATCACTTGATTTTTTTTCTTGTGCGTTCACTTCCAGAGACAGTTAAAGGCACTGTGTAACTGCCTCAAGGGTGCTTGACCAGTTTCACAAAACGTGGCGCGATCATCCCCTTTGCGCGAAGTGCGGGGTCTCGACCCCGCACAACACAATCAACTCGACCATGGTTACCGCAAAAAAAAAACAGAGGTATATAGACTAGTCTATATGAAAAAAAGCGGTAACCTGGGTGCCGAGCTCACGAAGTGATCGGCTTGTTTTACAACGTCGTTGCCAAGCGACGACAACCCAACTCCGATGGCAAATACCGAGGTGGGGGTAGTGTGGGGGAGGTGAAAGAGGAGTCATTTTTTTTGTGGTACCGCGACAGTATCTCGGTTTTGCCTTTCTCCGACCAAATGTCTCACAGACATGTATGTGTAGCGTGTCACGGCTGCATATGAAAATATTGCACGAACGGTCGTGAAAACAAGTAGCGTATAGCGTGTGCTGTCTGCGTGTGCATTGCGCTGTTCGCTACTACCGCCCTACATTTCCCCCGGGTGACCAGGAATCGCAAACGTGGGAAATGGCAGACACCTTTCAGCTTGGTTCGGAGTTGTCTGTGACGGTTTCTGGAAAATGCCCAATCTGGGAGGCGTCGTCGGTGGAGTCGAAACGGACCTTCTCATGGCAAAATGTGAACGGAAATATAACCACGAAATAACTAACGTTGTTACAAGGGACGACCGCGAGGTTAAGGTTCCCCCCCGCAGGAAGGTGAAGGCGGTCGCCTTGGCCACTGAAGCACTCTAATAGATGTGCCCTTCGAAGCTTAGATGTGTCTCACCCTGCCTGGTAAACGGCAGCAAGTTCTGCTACGGCATCAGTGGTACGTACCGTAGCGTAACTGTCAGCTCTCACACACATCATCTGGAGGAAGTCGAAAAGCTCTGAACTTTTGTGGCGGCTCTACCTTCTGCGCGATGACGCACCCGCCCTACGGGTAGACCCTGCCGCCCGTCCGAAGCTTCCCGGGTTTACGTTTCGGCTGGAGTGATGTGCTTGGCCGTGCAGTCACGGGGAATATTTTGATACAGTAGTGGGCCCTATATAGTGCAGGGGTCTGTCGTGAGAAGTTACCTGCACTATAACAAGCACCTGCACTACTGAAAAGGGTGCCCTCGATAGTGCAGGTTCCGCACTATTGGGGCCTTGAATATTCCTCAATAGTGCAGGTTCTGCACTATTGAGGCACTCTTCGACTTCACGTTGTGAGTGTGGCGTCCGCACTTTGCGGGGCCAACAGAGTACGAAATGGATCGAGATTGTGGATTAATAGTGGACGAAGCTAACTCTCAGTCCTCGTTGCCTGCCTTCCCTCGATGTTGGTGATAGAAAAAGACTTGCGTGTATAAAAAAAATACGACAGAAAGCCCACTGCAAAAACACGAGCAACCATGTACTGCTGGCCCCTGCCATCATTACGTGATGATCAAACTCTCATGTCTCCCTGGCGCACCTGGCTTCGATTTAGCAAGGACCAACACACACACAACCAGCCAGGCGCAACCTCACTCCGTCGTGCCAATTTATCTGACCCCTGCCGCACCGGCTGCTATGTTGCAAGAAAAAAAAACACAAGTAAAAAAGAGAGAAAAACATGCAGGACGGTCACTGCAAAGAAAAATCAAGCAAGCATGCACCCCGCACCCTTAGGCTTGCTAACGTGACAAACTCCCTTATGACTGCCCGGCGCACCCGCTGCGATGTTGCGGGAAAAAATAAAAAAAGAAACGAGAAAGGCGCATAGGAAGCTGACTGCAAGGAAAAAAAAACAACCACGTACACCCGCCGCCTTCACTACGTCTCGACAAACTCTCTCATGTCTGCCTGGCGCACCCGCTTAGCGGCATGCGCTGCGATCATCGCCATTTTTGCTTTCTGCAGATGGAACGCCGCGTCTCCATTGCCACTCTCATCTGCTGCCGATTCCAGGACGCCGAAGTGAGGTGACAGCTCACTATAAGCCGGTGGAGCACGGCGCTCGCGCCCCGTGTTCTCACCGCCACCGCCATCAGCTGGTATCTCTTTGCGCTTGCCAGCTCTTGCGACGCACGAGCAGCAGATTCGCCTTGTTGTTTCGATGTCGCCAACCATGCTGCCGCAGTTGCCGTGGAGCCGCCCGCCACATCCTCCATGACAGACGTGGCCATGAGGGGCTTGCGGCGTCTTGTCTGGTTGGTGGCACAGCTCACCGTCCGCACAAGGCATGGTGCGCCTCTGCGCTGCGTACAGCTCTTCGGGTCTGCAGCAGCACGCGCGCCGCGTTTGTGTTGCGTCTATCCGCTGTTCGTGAGTGTATGTTTCTCCACCTGCACTATTACGGGGCACCGCGGTGCCCAACCTACACTATATCGGGTATCTGCCTCAATAGTGCAGATCCTGCACTATTGAGGGCGCCGTCTGTGCGCAGAGATTTATTTTACCTGCACTATATCGGGCGGTTGCACTATTCAAAATGCACTATAGGGGGCCCACTACTGTACTTTTGACGTGTCGGGTCAAGAGCCGTTTGAGCGAGTTACGGGGCTCTCCATACCCACAAGCAGCCACAAGAGTAATCAAGATGTCCATCAAAGCGCTTTCAAACGTCGGGTGTGCCGGACCGTCCCTTTGATGGCTTTCCTTCGCATTCGGTGTCGGTGACTCGTAGGCTCAGCCTCTGCCTTGCGGCTGGCGCTGCGTACTCTGCCACCATCTCGGTCCCTCTGTCGGCGAATTGATCGCGAGTCGGCGACTATTCGAAGAGAGTCCCGCAAGGTCTTTCCGTCGTTTGTGCTTTCCCGGCTTCAGTACGCCCAAGTTGCCTTCTTCTCCTCCGTCATTTTTTTCTGTGGAATGGTAGACTAGTCTTGGCTTGGTGCAACCGAAGTGGTTGCTCTTTCAATAATAGGTCTCATGGTCGCTTTGACCGCCGGCCTTCCCGACGCGGCTTCAGCGCTTCCACTGTCTTACCTCTCATATTGAGTTCCATCTGTACTTCTATGTTTCGTCCTAGGTAGAACAAGATGATGCTGGGATGTTGTAGGATGCACAACTTGTGTTTCCTAATGTTTTTTCTATATATATTTTTTCTCAATAAATATCACACAACAAATAAATCCATCACTACTTATAGAAATAAGTCTAAGATAGATTAGCAATGAATCCACAGTGTGAGCGAAAGGCTACCTGTATGTCTACGGTTTCCCGGATAGCATACAACGACATCTCCCCTGTGGGTAACAGGCTCAATCTCGGTATTTTTTCGAATACCGCATTTAAAAAAAACAACGCCATTCTTGTTTCTGCTTGTTCGATGGCAGTTCTTGGTGTTCACGTTCTGGATGTTTTCATAATAATAATAGTGTTTTTTGTTATAAAAGTGTGGCCGGTACGCTTTTTGTTTTGTTGTTTTGCAAAAACAAAGCTGTTTAGAGGGATCGTGGGTG